CATTAAACAATTCATTGTGTTTATCTTCCATATCAAAAATGGGAATCAAGGGCAGTTATCATTCTCACGTACAAGTGAGGAAACCGAGAATCAAATAATTAAAACCTGTTTATGATCATACATGGTGAGAGGAGAAGAAACCTCTTGGTCATCCCAGAGCTACTTACTCTTCCAGTTCATGGTCTCTGTGAGGGGCAAACCCGGGAGTTTAGTTGTACCAGATATTTACCTGCAAGCTTGTAGCCTTGAAGGGTTGAAGACTTCAGGGGATTTTAGCTCAAGTGGGGGGAAGACTCTATGCCAGGTGCCAACAGAGATTTACAGCTAAAAATCTTCCACTGAACTGTTAAACTCAGGGGCAGGAATCTGGTGCCTCCTGGATTCCTTGCTTTATTTCTGTTTTGATTCCTTTGTAAAGCAAAGGGGAGCCATAAACTCATTCCTCTGGTTAACCTCAAATAAAACAACTCCACACCTGTAATCTCAGCCACTTGGGAGGCTGAGGCAGGAGGATCACAAGTTCAAAGCCAGCCTCAGCAATTTAGTGAGTCCCTAAGCTACTTAGTGAGACCCTGTCTTAAAATAAAAAATAAAAAACTAATTTTAAAAGTGGTGGTGGTGGGGGGCGGGCTGGGGAAATGGCTCAGTGGTTAAGCACCCCTGGGTTTAATCTTTGGTACTTAAAACAAAAACACCACTAGGTGTCTCCATGGAACCCATCACAGAGATGCAGAGCCATTCACTCGAGGTTGACCTTCCTCATCCAGCTCAGCTCCCAGGAGCTGGAGGAAGTTGAGAGAGAGAATTCAAACGCAAGTCCAGGGAAGGTGGACTCAGTGTGGTCAGACCCCGGGTTTGGTCAATCTGCAGTTTCTCAAAATCAGATTGGCTACAGCAGAATCACTTGAGGCTCTTGTTGAAAGGAGTGATGCCAAGGTTTCACTCCAGAGCAGCAGGTGTCAACCTTTGCTTCACGTGAGAGTCCAGGGAAACTCGGCGCGGGGCTGGGGGTGTAGCTGAGCAGCAGAGCGCTGGCCTAGCATGTGTGAGGCACTAGGTTGGATCCTCAGAACCACATAAAAATAAGTAAATAAATAAAATAAAGGTATTATGTTCATCTACAACTAAGAACTATTTTTTTTTTTAAAGTTCAATGACTCCAGGAACAAAATGACAAGTAGGCTTTTCAGGTTCCTCCACAAGAAACATTAGAAACTGTCAGAACAAACTGTGTCAGAACTCTGGAAAACCATCAAAGGTTTTAGCAACCAAGTGGATTCTGAATCAAGAAAAAGCAGGGCTGGGGTTATATCCAGTTGGTAGAGTACCTTCCTAGCATGCACAAGAGGCCCTGGGTTCAATCCCCAGCACCAAAAAAATAAAATAAAATAAAAAAGCAACTTAAAAGCAGCTCTGTGGGAAATGAAGGCTAAGGTAGAGCTGTAAATCAGCCCGGCCTCGTGTTGAAAGAGGACCTCAGCACAGAGCCAGTCTGCAAAGACTGAGGGAGGTGTGTTTGATTTTGTCATCTTTCATTTGTTTTCAAGGAAATCCCTATCAAAATACTAATCAAACATAAACTAAAGGAACAGAGATTCAGTGACCACATTTGACAAGGAATACAGTCTTTTCCTAAAATAGTTTATAAGAGTCATTAAGAAACAGAGGACTCGCTGGGCATGGTGGTGCATACCTGTAATCCCAGTGGCTTGGAAGACCGAGGCGGTGGATCACAGGTTTGAAGACAGTCTCAGCAACTTAGTGAAGCTATAAGCAATGTAGTGAGATCCTGCCTCAAAATACAAAATTTAAAAAGGGCTGGGGATATAGCTTAGTGGTTAAGTGCTCTTGGGTCAATCCCTGGTACCAAAAACTAAAACTAAAACAGATCATTACAACCTTCAATAATCAAATTCAACAAACCCTGGAGAAGGGAGAGACTCTGATCTTCAAAATTATCACATTATAATATACAAATGTTCAATTTTCAGGTCTGGGAGTATAAGATTACCAACTATACAAACAAACAAACCAACCAACCACACACACACACACACACACACACACACAAAGAGAAAAGTGTGTTCCATGCATGCCTGTAATCCCAGTGATAGACCCAACCTGATCTTTTCTTAAAATTGGGCATCTCCCCACAAAACCATGAAAAGATAATTTCGGCTTTACTATAAATTACTGCAAATTCTGAACCTGCTTGGAATGCCTGCCCGTGCCTTGAACTCACCCATGCCTGGCTCTCTGACCAGGTAGCAGCCCTCTCTGAAAGTTAGTGACACCTCATAAATATTGGCCTTCCCTGGCCAGACAACAACCCTTTCTGAGGCTCTAATGGTCCTCATAAATTCTGATGTTGGGGCCAGCAAAAAATGTAAACTACCATTAGTATGATGCTTGTCAGAGTTCTGTTATCTGTAACCCCCCTTTGTGTAACTTTCTGGGCTATAAAGCTGGGCTTCAGGAAAGCTGGGGTGCTGTCTTGTTCCCACCGTTTTGGGAGGGAGAGGCAGCCCGGCCGGTTGAAATAATAAGCTTGCTTTAATTTGACTTTAATTGGAGTCAGTGGTCTTTTCTTGTGTCCTGGTCTAACACCAGCGGCTTGGGAGGCCGAGGCAAGAGGATCGAGAGTTCAAAGCTAGCCTCAGCACCTTAGCGAGACCCTTTCTCAAAATAAAAAATAAAATGGGCTGGGGATGTGGCTCAGTGGTTAAGCACCCCTGGGATCAATCCCTAGTACCAAAAAAAGAAAAGTGTGTTTCTGAAGCTGAGAGGTATAATAACTGAAATGAAAATCTAACGTCCAGCCTTGTCCTAGTCTAATCACATTAAAATGTCTGGAGTGGGGGCTCCAGCATTAGTTTCTCAAAACTCTGTGAACATGGAGAACCTCTGTCCCAGAAGTTTTGATTTAGCCTGCAGAAGCTGTGAGTCTACAGAAGAGGCACATTATCATCACGTGAAGAACTCTAGAAATACTGACTTCTGGATTCCTCCCCAAATCATTTGAAAAGGAAGCTTTGGGGGTAAACACTGGGAATTGGCCTTTTGAACACATTTCCTTAATAATTCTGATGACCACACAATTCCATGAATTCCATCTTCCATATCGGAAAGACTTTTCTTCATCAGGATACCAACAGCCCCACTATCTAGTGCACATGTGTTAATAGCATTTGTTAATAGTCCCTTGATGAGGCTGAGTTCGCTGAATGATTCACTGACTCATTTCAGACTAACCTCGTGTCTTGAGGGCCCTGGGAATGCAGCAGTGCACTGAGGAGACGTATCCCTGCCCTCATGAAGCATTCTTTCCAGCACAGGAGCCAAATAGATCACATGATTATGACTGTTGACGAGGAAATTAAAGTGAGACAAGGGGTTAGAGAGGGAGGGGAGTGGGCAGGGTGTCACCGGTAGCTGACATTGAAGAAGGGACAGTGAAGGGGGAGCCTACTGTTGAGGGACATCTAGGAAGAGAGCCTGCTGATTGAATAAAAACACCTGAAATCTCGGCTTAAAAGGAAGACAACTTGCACCTTCCAGTGTCTCCCTTTTGTTTTGGATCATCTCTCATCTGGGGCCAAATGGCCTTGCTCTGGGGCCTTCGACCAGTATGGGTGTGAATTTTGAGCTGGCCACACCATCCCAAAGAGTCACAATGTCTTCAACTGTAAAATGCCTTAATAGTCACCAGGATTCCTCTCTGACGGTAGGATTGCCATCGCGGGTACCTGGCATAGGGAGGTAGAGTGCAAGGGTTAAGTCATGAGTGCTGCAGCCAATGGCTTCCATCCAGAGCCTGGCTCTGCCATTTTCTTACCATAAAACTCCAAGCAAATCATTTCGCCTTTCTGAGTCTTTGGCTTACGTGCTAGAAACAAAAATGTCATGTCCTACTTCTGATCCTGGGACCATGTTAGGTTACTTGATCAGAGGGAATCAAGGTTGCAGATGAGATTAAGACTGCTAGTCAGCTGACTTCTTCTTTTTTAGTCGTAGACAGACACAATGCCTTTTAAAAGAATTTTTAGATGTTGATGGACCTTTATTTTATTCATTTATTTATGTGTGGTGCTGAGAATCGAGCCCAGGGCCTTATACATGCCAGGCAAGTGCTCTACCACTGAGCCCCAGCCCTAGCCCAACACAATGCCTTTTTTATTTTATTTTATTTATTTTTATATAGTGCTAAGGATCCACCCAGTGCCTCACACTTGCTAGCCAAGCACTGTACCACTGAGCTACAACTCCAGCCCCTCGTCAGCTGACTTTAAGACCAGGAGATCATCCTGTGCTATCCAGCTGGGGTCCTTACCCGTGGAGCAGGGGGCAGAAGAATGGTCACAGTGACGTGATGTCAGGATGGGGCCCAGGGTTGCTGGTTTGTACACGAAGGAGACTCTAGTCAAGGAATGCCAGTGGTCCCTGGGGAAAAATTCAGGCTACTCTGCTGGTACTGAACTTTGGCCCACAGAGGCCTGTGTAGGACTTGCAACCTACAGAACTGGAGATGGTGAGTTTGTATTGCTGAAGCCACCCACCATGCTAGTGGCAATTAGCAGCAATAAGAAACGAATAAAATCTATCATTTGAAAATGGACAACATCATAGTATCCGCCTCACTGGCTGTTCTGGAGGGTTCTCTGAGCCCCCCTCAGTGCTAGGTCCCCAGTAAGTGCTCTGGCAGATAAAACAAAGATGTCCATACCGTAGTCTCCAGGACCTGGGAGTGTTACCCTACTTGCCAAAAGGGACTTCCCAGATGTGATTAAAGATTTTGAGTCAGATTATCCTGGTGGGCTCAATGTGGTCAGAGATCCTTACAAGCAAAGGGAGGGAGGCAGGAAGGCCAGAATCCTGGAAGGAGACGTGAGGACAGAAGCCAGATGAAGGTAGGGAGAATAAGGGAAGGGAGAGAGAGGGGAGGGAGGCCCGGAGTCGGGGAGAGAGAGTGCTAATGATTTTTTTTTCTTTTTCTTTTCCAGTGCTGGGGATAGAACCTAGGGCCTTGCACATGCTGGACCAATGCTCTTCCACCGATCTGCACTCCCAGCTGGACACACAGGGAGAGATTTGAAGATGCCATGCTGTGGGTTTTGAAGATAGAGAAAGGGATCGGGATCCAAGGAATGTGCAAGATCTCTGGAAGCTGGAAAAGTAAGAAACACCTTTGTAGAAGATCGTAGAGGATCTCGGACCTGCTGACACCTAGTTCTGGGACTCCTGGCTTCCAGCACCGTAAAAGAACACATTTGTGCAGTCTCAGGGAGGAGGCAATCAGTTCCAGCAGCCACGGGAAACAACACAGTGCTCAATAAACGCTGAGTATTGCCATTAGGTGGACCTCCAGCCTTAGGTCAGGTACAGGGTGCTCAGAAGTACTAATCACAATAGCAGTGATGGTGCCTGGAATCCACCAGGGGCACACCAAGATGCCACCTCCAGTTTTTTCTGCTTAATTTTTGGCCTCCAAAGCATCTAAAAGCATTTTGCTCACAATTTTTTGTTTGTTTTTAAAAATTAAATTCAAAACCAGGAACTTCCTCCCACCAGGCAGGTCTCTGCCATGTGCTAGCGAAAGCTAATAGCTTTGTCTTAGAAGAGGCAGTGGGGATAGGCAATACACCCAGGGTAGAAAAGGGTGCCCAGCCCCGGTCCTGGCACTGCTTGGCCGGTGACTTGGGTCATCTTGCTTCTCTTCTCTGAGCTTCATTTTCACCCATTAGAAAACAAAGGGATTAAAGCGTCGACAATTCCCATTGGTTAGGCACCTTTGATGTATGTCACAGTTTGGATCTGAAATGTCCCCTGAAGGTTCAAGTGTTAAAAATGGGGTCCCCAATGCAGCAGTGTTCAGAGTGGGGCTTTGGGAAGTGACTGGATCATGAGAACTCTGAATTAATCCTTCCATTGGTTCATGATAGAATGGGCTTTGGGGACGGGGTGGGAACTGCAGAAGGTGGGGCCTAGTTGGAAGAAGTAGGTCACCGGGGGTGTGCCTCAGAAGGGTGTGTCTTGGCCTTGGCCGCTTCTTCTCTTTCTGCTCCACCTTTAAGGAAGGTGGCTTTGTTCCACCATGTGCTCCCCACCAGGATGTTCAGCCTCGCCTCAGGCCCAAGGGGATGGGGCCTAGCAATGGATTGAACCCTCTAAACTGTGAGCCAAGACCAATCTTTCATCTCTTGTTTTCCTCAGGCATTTTGTCACAGTAATGGAAAGCTGACACAATGTCCAAGGTGTGTGTATACTCTTATTTGAGCCCAGTGAAGCCAATGCAAGGAATCATTTCCATTTTATAACCCAGAACACTGAGAGGCCCACAGAGGTTAAGTGACTTACTCAAGTCACAGAGTTGGCAGAGCTGGGATTTAAGCCAGGACCACTTGACTCCTTTATGACGTGCCCCTCCACCTTTAACATGTTATTGCCCTCTCTGAGGACAATGACATGTTTAAAGGACATATTTACATATCTGCTCTGGTGTTATTGTTTGGACATGAGGTCTCCCCCCATGCCCAAACGTTCCTGTGTTAATTCAGAAATATTCAGAGGTAAAATCCTCAGATTATGCGAGCCCGTCAGTCCGTCCTATTTTGAAGGGACTCACTAACTGGGTGTAACTACCTGTAGGCTGGGGTGTGTGGCTGGGGAGGTGGGTCACTGGGAGGTGCCCTGGGAGGGTTCAGCTCCCTGCGGCCCTGCCTTTCTCCTCCTTCTCTCTGCTTCCTGGCAACCATAAACAGAGCAGCCTTCCTCCCCCAGGCCCCTCCGCCATGGTGTTCTGCCTCTCCTGGGCCCAGAGCTACGGAGTCGGCCCACAGGGTCTAATCTCTTAAACTGTGAGCCAAAATAAACTTTTCCTCCTCTACATTGTTCCCACCATGTATTTTGGTCACAGATGAAAAGCTGGCGAACCCATCTGGTGTCTCTGGGAGTCACAGAGAGGACAGGGAGGAGCTATGAGCAGCCCCACAGTGGGTCACCTTCTAACTTACACACGCGCATCCTGGAAGTGGTCGCTCCCTCAGAGCCTCTGACCCAGCTCCTCAGAGGCTTTCCTCAGGAAGACCCATCCCACCTCACCTGTTGTGACAGACACCACAGTTGCAAAACCAGTGTATATTCTCCCCTTCTGACTTAGTAACAGAATCCCCGTTTTCTTTGAATGACAATGGGCCCAGTTAAAAATACCTCCTTGCATTCCCTCCCCTGGAGCTAATGTGATCAATCCTCAGACTCAGTTTTTTATTTATTTTTAGTTGGACCCGATACCTTCATTTTATTTATTTTTATGTGGTGCTGAGGATCGAACCCAGGGCCTTGCATGTGCTAGGCGAGCGCTCTACCCCTGAGCCACAACCCCAACCCTCTGGTCCAGTTTTGATCAATGAGATATAAATAGAAATTTGGATGGGGCTCCCTGGGAATTTCTTGTCTTCCTCATACAAAAAGGCTGAGGAACTCAACAGGCGCATGCCTTTTTCTCTTTGCCTTTGCCATTATTCCTGCCTGGAATGTAGGTGAGATTACTGGAAGTAGGGCAATCATCTTATGACTATGAGGAAAGAACCCCTTGCTAAAGATAGCCGAGGAGGAAGGCAGAAGGAGCTTCTGTCCTTAAGGATTTCTTTGAGACTCTTTACTAAGCTGGACTGCCTACCTCTGGACATCTTCCTGAGGAGATAAAAATGAAAGCTTTATTAAGTCAGATTTCTGTTTCATACAACTCAGTGTAATCCTGACTGATAAGTTCTCCAAGAAAGGTCTATTTCTGGCCCCAAGCCCTGATGTGCTGCATTAATAAGCACGTGTGATGACCTGAAAATAGACCTCGGAGGAAGAGGCATGGCTGTGGCTATGACTGTGAGCTTGCTGAGCTATCCCCTGTCCTGTCCGTTCTCTAGATAAAGTGAGGTTCATTCCCACTGTCTTCAGTCAGAGCACAGCGGCCTAATGCACGTGTTTCAGGAAAGCTCAAATATAGCTCCAAGTCTGCTGCTTTTGCTGAGTGAGCAGCACCTGCGTGTCTTGCAGTCCCGGTGCAGGAGTTGGGGGTGTCTCTAGGAAGGTGGGGTCTCAGAAGGGTCTAGAAACCAGGGGTGCGGGCAAAGCCTGGTTCAAGCAGACAAGCTCTCCTTCTTTTGGTTTCCTGTGACATGGGTTAGCATATGACAAAACTTGCTTGAGGTGCAAACTGGGACTCAGAGGGTGAAGTGACAGTGTCAACCCAGTTGCTTGGTTGCGTGCAATAGAAGTGGGCTCCGTAGAACTGGAGGGGAAAATTGTTTGCCAGACGAATACAGGATGGCTCCCAGAATCAGTGGCAGGTTTGGACACACTGACCTGGGGCTTTAGTTGCAGGAAGTCTAGGTAGCAGAGACCAGCGTCCGAACGACAGCGTGGTCATGAGCTCGGTCCTCAGCTGAAGGAAGGCAGGTGCTGGGAGGAGCCCTTCCACACGGTCTGGGGAAGAGGTTTGCTGGAAGCAACCAAGGAACTTAGCACCAAAAAAAAAAAAAAAAAAAAAGGTAGTAAAAGCCAAAAAAGAGAAAGAAACCATATTAGTATAGAATTAGCCCAGGGCTTGTGTTTTGGGATCAGCTGACTTCAGTTACAGTCTTAGCTCTGCCCGCTCCTGTCTGTCTTTGATGATGAAGTCAATGAACTTCATTAGGCCTCAGTTTCCTCAACTGATAAGAAAGAGCCAGGATGGGGCTGGGCTGTGGCTCCGTGGCAGAGCACATGCCTAGTATGTGTGAGGCCCTGGGTTCGATGCTCAGCCCTGCATAGAAATAAATAAAATAAAGATCCATTGACAACTAAAAAATATTTTTAAAAAAGATTGAGCCATGAACATAAGCTCCAGGAGGGCAGGGATTTTGTCTTTCCCCACCATGTGCTTGTCCCAGCGCCTAGAGCCTAGATTAGTGCCTGGAAATCATGGATGCTCAGTATCTACTCAGAGAATGAATGAATGCGCCTCTTGTTGGTCCCAGCAACCTCTTAGGTAGAGAGTTATTGTGTTGCAAATGCACTGTGTAAGGTACCTGGCCTGGTGGGGAGGGTTCCTGCCTCACCACCTACCCTGGGGACGGGGAGGAGAGACCCCCCCCACCCCAGACACTCGGGGAGAGAAGCAGCTGCCTGGGCGCTGGGCCTGACTCGCCCTGGGGGGGGAGGACCTGTTGACCCACGTGCACAAGCCACCAAGCCTCACGCTCAGGAGCAGAGCCCTGTAGCTGGCAGCAGCAACCCCACGTTGTGCGTTGTGCGTGGGACAGAGCCACTCTGGCAGCCTCTGGGACTTCCTGGCACAAGGAGTGGGTGTGTTAAACCCTGCTCCCACCTTTGACGTGTTAAGGAGTCGGAAGTCACCACACCCCTACGCTTCACAGAGGACCTTGACATATTGTGGTGAATGGAATCAGGTACAGCCCCCGGGGGAATGTGCACAGCGTTTAAAAAATAAAAATAAAAAGATACACACAGCAGGCCTTCACTGGAGGAGGGAATGCAGTTCTACTCAGTCGTGGTTTCATTCTCTGGTCTTGACAAGAGGAAATTCTAAACCGTTTCAATCCCCAAGGCCACTGCAGAAACACAAAACATAACAGGAAGAGACAAACCTGGACAAAGTAAGGATTTTGGCATTTGTCATCTTCCTCCCACCAATAACCAGCATCTATGCTGGATTCACCGTCACCCTTATCAGCACCGCCACCCCCGTGCCACCCATTGCTTCACGGCCACCTCCACCCACCCAGTCAACCCTCGGTGGCCAGCAGCACCACCTTCGCCACGTTTGTCCCTATCAAATGATCGCCAGGATGTTGACACCAGAGAACCAACCCTACCGGGTCCCAGCCAGGTGCCCTTTCCCAGGCTGGCCCTCGTTCCCCAGCAGTTGGTTGCCCACAGGTCACAGCTGCTCCCTTCTCCTGAGAATTCCCTTTAGCCAACAGGAAATGCCTGAGAAGTCACCCCTGCTCTCTAAGTGGGGTGTACAAACGCCCAGTCTCCTGGCTCGCGCTGGGACACTCTGGGGTAGTGGATCCATGCTACAGCGCCCTCTGTGGGACTGGAACTGAGTCTGGCTTTCCCTGAACCCATACTTCAGCCCGACTTTCTCTCCTGTCCTCTTCTGCTTCCCTCACCCCCTAACAGGTTTCCCCTGCGAAGTCTCTCAATAGAGCACTGTAAGAATCGTACTTCAGGTTGGATACGGTGGCACACCCCTACGATCCCAGCAGCTCGGGAGGCTGAGGCAGGAGGATCGTGAGTTCAAAGCCAGCCTCAGCAATGGGGAGGTGGTAAGCAACTCAGTGAGACCCTGTCTCTAAATAAAGTACAAAATAGGGCTGGGGATGTGGCTCAGTGGTTCAGTGTCCCTGAGTTCAATCCTCAGTACCAAAAAGAGTCCTACTTAAGTCTCTGCTTCCAGAGAACCCGACTCAGACGTGCCCACCACTCATGGCTGTGCTAGTGGATGCATTTTGGAATGCTTCCCTGCCCTTCTCACCTTCTTGGGGGATTTTGCCTGGACTGGCGGTGGCCTGATGGAGCTGACCAGCTCCATCTGTGAGAGTCAGTTGAGCATGTTCTTCCCAACTCTGAGTTCGGCATGAGATCAGCTATGGTGGGAACATTTACACCATGGAAATTGGCAAAAACAAACAAACAAAAAATCCAAACAAAAACTGCTATAAATAAATAAATAAATCCTGGCGATCTAGTTGTTAAATACTTACCAGCATGCCACAGGGCACAGGCCTAACCGTTTTAATCCTTTGATTTCCAGTAAAGTGACTGACATAGACTCCTTCCTTTGGGAAGACTTATTCATGGATTGCTAGAGGCATATGAATTATGTGGCCTGGCAAGAAAAGAAATGGTTCGGGCCGGAAGCTGTCTCATGGAATTGGGAAGCCAATAAATTGTAGCCATTTGGCGAGGAAAGTTGAATAATAATAATCTTAGCTACCATATATTGAATGCTAAGCCAGATTTGTGCCTTGCTAAGCACTTTGCATGTATTATTGTGTCTAATTCTTTTTTTGTGTGGGGGTACTGGGGCACTTGACCACTGAGCCGCATCCCCAGCCCTATTTTTGTATTGTATTTAGAGACAGGGTCTCACTGAGTTGCTTACGCCTTGCCATTGCTGAGGTTGGCTTTGAACTCGCCATCCTCCTGTCTCAGCCTCCTGAGCTGCTGGGATTACAGGTGTGTGCCACGGCTCCTGGCCCTGTCTAATTCTTATAACACCTTTTGCAGTCGTATTATCATCCCCCTTTATTGGATTGAACAACCTTAAGGAGAGAAAGTCCTTTGCCCAAGACCACATGGCTTGTTGGTGGAGAAAAAGGGATTCAATCCCTGGTCTTTCTGACTCCTGAGCTTACGTTCAGAACCTTTCATGAAAGAGGCCTAGGGGTCCAGACTGGCACAACCCGCAGGTATGGTGACATTATGGGGAAACTAGGGTAAGTGCAAAGTGTGCAGGATACATTGGTTTTAAGTTATGGGAACCAAATTTGAACTAGCTTCAATAGAAAAGCCTTCTTTGGGCCACATCCATCCCTAAGGGGCCAAACAGGAGCCAGGCTGAGGGGTAACTGGAAGCAAGAATCCCAAACCTAGCAGTTATCTTTCCCCATTCTTTTGCCCTCTTCCTACTTTTTTTTTTTTTATTTTATTTCTCCCTGCCATTCCAAGATGGTGCCAGGGAAGGTTTATCTACCCCAGCTACCTGCACTCTTGGCCCATCTAATTGGAGAAGGTAGTGGCTTAAGTCATGTAGAGGATAGCGGGGTCCTGACCTGAGGATTCATGCCAGGTGGTTCTTGATCCACCAGGAGACTACAGAAT